AATCAATGAAAATTTTAAAACCATCATTTATTTTCAGTTTGACATTTATTTGTGACAATTTGACCTCAGATTTCAACTCTGCTTATTCAACCAAGTGTCTTTTGTCTTTATTTTTTCTGTGTGTGTAAATAGATGCGTGAGGGCACACATTTGTGCATGCGAGTGGTTCACAGAGGACCTCGCTAACTGCTGATCACAAGGTGCTACACATCTCGAGTGTTTATTACAATTTACATTTTTTAATGAATATGCTATTTCTAATGAAATCTTACACAAATTTTAAGTGTATTCTAAAAGTTCGATAATAACATTGTCTTGTGAATTTAATCCTGCTATTGTGTCATTAAATGTGTTTAAGGATTTTTTTTCTTGAAGTGAAACTGATAGTTTATAGATGTGAAGACAATTTTATGGAAATATCACTATTAGTGCAGAGTTGAAGTTTATTATTTTTTTATTCATAGGTTCTTGTACCACAATTGATCAATTTTTGTCTTTTCTTCTACATTCACAGCTTCCTTAATGCTTACACTAAAACAGAGATTTAAGCATTTTATATTTCTCTACAATAGTTTTCTTTTTCATAGCACACTTGTAAAAGACCTTTCTGCCATCACCAAAATGTGTTACTATAGGGCATTGGTGAGGTGGCTCAGTGTTCAAGAGCACTGGCTATTTTCCCAGAGGACCCAGGCTTGATTCCCTGCATGCACGTGGAGGCTCGCAGCCTTCTGTATCTCCAGCTCCAAGGAATCCATGCCCTAATCTGGCCTCCATGGGCATCAAGCATGCACCTCCATACACATAAAATAAAAATAAAATAAAATGCATGAATACAGAAAGTGCCTTCCTCAATTAAATATTTGCTACCTAGGACATGAATAAGCAAATGAGTGAATGAATAAATGAATGTTGAAAAGATCGTTGGTAGTGGTTTGAAAAGTGTAAGGTTCTAGGAAGCACATTGTGTATAAGGAAACTAGAAGTGGTATCTGGCCACTTAACATCTTTATTTTTACCAGTTGTAAAGAAAGAAGTAGTAAAGTCATGTGAGTCATATCACTGAATCAGCGGTAGCAATGCCACACCACCGCCTGCACTGTTTACGAGGACCTACTACGGGTCTAACTTAGAGCTAGAGATTTAATATGCTTTGTGTTATTTGCTTTATTTAGTGCTTTACAAGATTAAGGGCTAGGTGTACTGCTATATTATTTGACAAGTTAGAGCAGTTAGCCTCTATTATATATTATAGTGACATAGCAAATACATTTTATAGGATCATACCCAAAATCCAAGTCTATCTGACTCCAAAACCCAGTTTTGTACTTTGTATTAGCCGGAATTATTGTAATTTTTTTCACAGTTAGCTAAGGGGAAAGACTGAAGTCTTTTCCAACATAGACTGGCAGGTACAGGAGAGCAATGATGCTCAGGTTACCATAGTAACTTTAGTGGGTAGGAATACTTGTCTAGAACTGTGATGGATGCAGTGTGGCTAAGCGTACAAGGTTACAGGGAAACTGACAGAAGAAACAATCACTTTTTTTTTTCTACCTGTAACATATAAATACAGAGATTTAATAGAAAAAACCCACCATATTTAGAAGCCAAAAATAAAATAAGACCAGCATAGCAATATCACTGCTTGGAATAAAATTGTTTGATACCCAGACATTTATACAGACACTTTTAAAAATAGTCCAGATGTTTCTCAAAGACAAACAAATAAAAACTGGAAATAGAGAAACTATATGACCCAGCTGTACTCCTGGGGTTTACTCAAAGTACTCAAAGTCCTACTGTAAAGAAACTTGAACATCAGTGTTTGTTGCTACTCTGCTCAAATAGCTGCACAAGAGAAACAGCCTACAAATGTCATTAAATTAAAGGACAGAAAATACAATTGATTACATATTCATAATGCTGTTTTCCTCAGTTGTAAAGAAAAATTCTGGGTGGGATAGGAAAAACTTTATACTCAGTCAGTTAACCAGATCCAGACGAAGGCCATATGCGGCCTCTCATGTGTACTTCTTAGCTTCAGTCTTTAGTTTTGTGTGTTTAACTTACACTATCTGTGGGAGCCAGGAAAATAGAAAGGGTTCTTTGGGGTGATTACTTAAGGATGGAGAAACAGTGACTATAAGTAAAAAGAAAGGCAGGAAAAACTGGGATAAAAAAGTTTACTAAGGAGAGGAGTAGGGAGTGTATAATGGAGACAAGGAGGCTTGGAAGAAGGTTAAACAAAAATAAAAGGTGAAGGCTGGAGAGATGGCTCAGAGGTTAAGAGTACTGGCTGTTATTTCAGAAGACCCTGTTTCAATTCCCAGCACCCACATGGAAGCTCACAACTGTCTGCAACTCTATTTCCAGGGAATCTCACACCCTCACACAGACATACATGCAAGCAAAGTACCAATTCACATAAAGAAATGAATCATCAAAAAACAAAAAAAATTAAAGGTGTATGAAAAGTAATATGGAAACCTACTATGTTATAATCTAATGAAAAATATAATTTAAAATGATTACGAAAGACCATACATGGATGGACGATGTTGCTTCTAGACATGAGTTACTAAACAGAAGCCCAGAAGCCAGGTATGGGATGTGCGCAGGTACGGAATGTGCCCAGGTATGGAATGTGCCCTTCTGAGTACTGCCTGTCAGGGAAGTCCCAGATGGCCTCACAGCTGCATAGCCTATTGACATTCCTCTTGGTTGATAAGATGATATTGCTGAAGACACTGCACATGCATGATTCAGAGATACAAAGAAATGAAACTAAGCTTAGCTGGAAACTTCCTACCCATTGGCTATCTTTCAGAGTCCTGTAAGTTGCTGTGAAGGCTAGTGGGAAGAAAATGAAAGGGTCGCCTTACTCAGCTCTAAATCTCTAACTGACATTACCAACTTGCTCGGCAAGGTATAGGCATGTATGTAATAGTGGTGTAATGCTTACAGAGATAACCAACGACTTTCTGACTGAATCTGAGGCTGGCTTCACAGGAGGCAACCCATGCCAGGCAAACACCGGAAACACCGGAAACCAATGAAAACCTTTGAACATCATAGGACTAAGGAAGAATTTACTGATGTTTAGCTAAATTTACATAGTGCCAAACTACCCGATAAATGCCGGTGTTTCTACCTACAGGTGAGTACTGCTCTCAGGTTTGTTTTCCAGTGACCAGCAGCGAATTCCAAGACTCGCAGCTGCGTGTTGAGAATGACAAACGAAAGCTGAAACCTTAATACGGTATTCGCATCACTTCCTATAAGGCTCAGAGAACGTGGTAGAGGAGAGGACCGGGAGGATGCAGGAGCTAGACGACCATGAGAAGGGGCGACACAGCCCTTCAGTGTAATCGTGAACTCACAGCAACTGTGATTATTTGAGTTGGGTTTCCACAAAACTGGACTTGTGAGCATTCAGCCATTGTGAGAGAAGGCTTCACAGGTCTCTTCCTGTCCAGTATCACTTGTTAGCTACTGAGATTCTGGGAGGAGCTCAGTCACTGTCTTTAGTTAAGTGCTCACTGGTGAGCCCAACCAAGCACCAATGGGCAATTTCAAAGGCATAGACACACAGTCCTGGTTAAACTCACTGGGTCACAAATTTAAAAAAAAAAAAAAAAAAAAGACATAAATATGGGTGGAAAAGGGGTTTGTAGGGGACATTGGCAGGAGTAGGAGGGAGATAATTAGAAAGTGTTATACAAAATGTATGTTAAAACATTTGAATTTCTGTGTTTGTTTACGTGTATATATGTAATATTTTTATAGACACGTCTAAAATATACAGTGTCGTGGATCAAGCATTTGGTGTATCAAGGGAGTTCCAGACTTGCTAAGAGAACTAAATTTTTGTCTTTAACTTCTTGGCAGCCTTTGGAAAGCAGTAAAACATTGTACATGGGTGACTGGAGTTAAACACTAGGGTGAATTTACGAGTCTGCTAGTTGTTAGCTTTCTAATTCAGCGTTAATCACTTTAGTTTTTTTGTGCCTTAATTTTTTTTAATTTTATTTTTTCTTATCAGTTACATTTTATTAACTCTGTGTCCCAGCCCTGTCCCGATCCCTCATTCCCTCCCAGTCCCTCCCTCCCTCCCTCCCTCATCTCCACCGTGTCCCTTTCCAAGTCCACTGATAGGGGGGACCTCCTCCCCATTCATCTGATCCTGTTTTATCAGGTATCTTCAGGACTGGCTGCAAAGTCCTCCTCTGTGGCCTAACAGGACTGCTCCTCCCTTGGGGGGTGGGGAGGCCAAAGAGCCAGTCATTGAGTTCCTGTTAGAAATAGTCCTTGTTCCCCTCACTATGGGAAACCAATTGGTTACTGAGCTACCACAGGCTACATCTGAGCAGAGGTTCTAGGTTATATCCATACATGGTCCTTGGTTGAATGTCAGTCTCAGAAAAGACCATGTGCCCAGATATATTTGGTCCTTGTGGAACTCCTATCCTTTCCCCATCAGAGTAACTCCCCTTCTTTCTTATGATTCCTGTACTCTGCCAAAGGTTTGGTCATGAGTCTTTGCTTTGAAAACACTGCTAGTTAGAGTCTTTCAAATGCGCTCAGTAGACTCCTGTTATACGTTCAATGCACTAATTTTCACACATATAAATTGGGCCTTTAGGAGGGTGAGCTGAGTGGTACGAGTAGGGATCCGTGATCTGTGCTTGCAGTGTTGTAGCAGAGCAGTATATGTGGCTCAATCAAGGCTGAAGCCAACTGAACCGATTTCCCCACCCCAACACACACACACACACACACACGCACACACACACACACACGCACACACACGCACGCACGCACACACACCCCTGTTGAGTTTAATTGTACTTTCTTTCCCAGGACCTTTCCTGTCTTTCACATATCACAGACTCTTTTCCGCCCTCTGCAGGTGGACAGTGACAGTAGCAAGCCCAAGCATTTTGGTTGCTATGGGTACCGATGTAACGCGGTAACCAAGGAGATTAATGCGGAAGCCAAATGGCAGCAGCAGCCGCTGCAACAAGGGTCGCAGGTGAGTTGGAGGAGAAAAGGCGCCTACAGCAGGTGGAGGGTGAAAGGTCTTGAGGGTAGGACCCGGCGGCGAGCTCCACGTGCGCGGTACAGACTGTGGAGCAGTAAGTGAGCAAGAAGACCCTGGGGGAGAGCATCGGTCGGTCCTGCAGGCATTTGCTGAACCCTTGCCACGTCAGACTCCTAGGCTTCCAGGCACGTTTCTAAATAAAACAAACTGATCGACGATGTCAGTACAGACAAGAACCAAGGGTGAAGTCCAGAGAGAGAAAGACCAGCCTCCTTCAGTTACAGCATTCTTTTCAAATGATCATCACTTTTATCCGTTGAAGTCACTGGTGCCCCATGAAGCCTGTAGTTATGGGAGAAACCATCTCACGTAATTCCTCTACATCTTTCCTTCTGTCTTTCTGTTCTCATCTCCCCACTGCCTTCTTGAACTGTCCTCTCAAGTAAAGGCTGGTAGGGTAGGAGAGCTTGGTTCCAGAAATATCTGAAGCAGTGGATATTTTATTCTTTTTTTTTCTCTCTGCTTTTCGTGGTATTTTTTTTAAAGAAAATGTGGGTATTAACAGTGACTTTTTGCAAGTCATATTAAGATATTTTGTGAAAGTGAAGCTGTATAGGATTAAAACTGTAAATTTTGTGACCATCGTAGTCTACTCTCTTTCCTGACCTTGTTGCTTAACCCTTCAGACTTCGCACAAGCTGGCCCTGACTTCCCTAACATTGCCAGGTGTATTACTAAGGAAGTAGCTGGAATTACTTCCTCTCTTTTCTTCTTTCAGGACAGTTAGTATTTCTTGCAGTTATTTTATTTGATTAGTTTGTGTTTTTATTTTCTTCACCAGAACAAATATTCAGAGAGGATTGGTGTCGTGCCTACCTGTTCACCTTATTATTCTGTACTTTATACTACAAATAGAGGTAGTTAATATAATCTGTTGCTTGCCAATCAATATCTTGTAGTAGATGTGTAAAAACACAAAATAATTTGTGGTGGCAGGGTAGAGTTAAAAGTTTTCTTCCTAGATAAGATTGTGCAATAAGTTAAAAGGAGTAGAAAATGGAATACTTAACTTAGCACACTATTAACCCAACTATGAGATATGTCGATACTGTGATCATTGATGAATACGCAAACACAAATAAAAGGATGCCTCTCAAATACCTGGGCTACTTCGAAAATACCACCTGTTAAGCAATTATGCAAAATACAGACAGTAATTGTAAATGAGCCTCAAACATAATTTCAAAAGAAATTGTTTTCAGTGGAGAAAATGGTAAGAGAGGTGAGGTGGCCTTCAAACTGGAGAGTGAATAGAATAATGGAAAAATATAAGAGACTGGAAGAAGGTGATGCATACTAGAAAAGCTTAAATGCTAGGCAGAGGCATTGGGCCATATTTATTGTGGTATAGAGAACTCTTTAAAGTATTTCAGTGTTCTCTCTCTCTCTCTCTCTCTCTCTCTCTCTCTCTGTGTGTGTGTATGTGTGTGTTTAGGCTTCGTTTAGGGTGTTAGACTTGTTGGCAAAAGGTTCTGACTGCTTAGCCATCTAACTGGCCCTGGAGAACTAGAGAAGCAATTGGACACTAGAAAGGTGTTCCATGGTATTTTAGATATGTCAGTATAAAATTTAAAGTATGTAATCTTCTAATATGTGAAACATGATAACTAGGGAAGGGGAAAGACTCTTTACCAATGAAACCTTGGGTTTATTTAGATATTTAGATTATTAATTTGACTTAAAAATGTTGAGTGTGTAGAACTGTAAATAGATTTAAAATCTTCAGAGCAACTGTAAGAACTAGTAATAGAGCAAGCAATATAATAGTAATTGTGGTTCTTGTACCATCCTTGCATGCTTAATTTTCTAATTACTAAAACAGTCATGGGAAAAACAGTTGATCATATGAGGCTAAGTGTTGATGATATAATGTTAAAGCTGTTGGTTTCTGAAAGTTCTTAAATATGTAATAATTCCATTGTTGCTTGTAAACATTTAAAGTTTTTACTTGGCATTGAGTTAACAACTATTGTTAGTTTCTTTTATCATTGTTTTTTTTCATAAATTTTAAAGACAACTAGGGAAGAGCTTATCTCTATAAAGTACTCATTATTTAAAAGGGTCATTTAAAATTTGACTCTGGTCAAATGCAAGGTGTAGGTATCTTAAAATCAGTATGTTTTCCTTATCATTTTAAATCTGAAAGTGTTCTAAAAGACTATCTTGCTTTGATATCTAAATACAAACATTCCCAGTTGTTCAGAAAATAATTGGTATAGAGCATGAAACATTGGGCTATGTATGTATCATTTAGTACCATGGAGTTGTGTCTCATCAGATATACTAAGTTGATAAAAGACTACCAAAGACTTGAAGTCAAGTTATCTGCTCACACATACGCTCTTAGGCTGAAGATCATGAATGATCACTTCATCCCTTACAGCGTTATGTTAAATCTTAAAAAATTTAACATTATTTAGTACATATTAATACCAGAGATATTGAAATTTAAACTTAGCATTAGTTTAGTAAGTTGAGGCAAGTATTTTTACAATTGATTTATCTTTTAGTTAATCTGTCGTTATTCCTAAACCAGCTGTGTATCCAAATCACCACACAGAGACTAGGATTTATTTAATTAACCTGGAGCAAATATTGGGCAATAGTTACTCTATCCTAAATCTCCATTTTTGTTTCACATTTCTTTCATGAGTGTCAGATTTCCAAATACTATATTAATATTAAATAATAAACTCAAAGTGTTTAATTGTCCCTTTAAGATTCTAATAATTGGACACTTTAAAGCAAGGAAAAACAAACAACTTTTTTTGTTTTTAAGCTACTTAGTGGTAGCTCTTAAATTTTAGGATATAAGGTTCTCCGAGTCATTAAAAAACAACTAACCCAGAAAATGTTCTCAATTATTGCAAGGTTCAATTATGTGTTCATTGATGACCTGCTGGCCTTATACATCCAAGGATAGCTATGAGCGTAGTCTAGATTTCTAAGCTTACATAAACCATGATGAGGAGCTTTAAGATTTCTGTTGTGTCTTAATTACATGGTTTTTGAGTGCTAACTTTTTGTATTATAACATTGTTTCTCAAGGTCAGAAGCCCAGACAATCCCAATGGAGACAGCTGTTACTCAAAGTTCCCATTCTACCAATGGAACAGTGCTAAATTCTCTGGGAACTTGGGATACTTCCTAGCAAGTTTTTTTGTTTGTTTGTTTTGTTTTGTTTTTGTTTTCCTAGTGTCAGGCATCACTGAACATTTTTTTCTTCCTTCTGTGGCAAAAGAGTGACTGCATTTCTTTTCTAAAATGAGAAAATATGTAGAACTAATTATCAACCTGTAACACTAAAACCGGGATCATATTGCATTCATATGTGTGGGTGAAATGGGAGTAGCGGACGGAAAACTATATAAACAACACAAGCAGGTGAACAATATAAGTGTGGGTAGCTTGCAACCACATATAACTTCAATTCTGGTACATCTGATGACCTCTCCAGACACTCAGGCACACACATATAAAATAAATAAGTGACTAAACAAATCTTTGCAAAAAAGACGTTATTTGTACCCTGTAATCTTACTTTGTGCCTCAAGCTTTCTGCTTTGTTATTTATGATGCAGACATTGTTATAGCATTGCTGTCCTGAGAAAGATGACTAATCCTCTGTTGGCTTTCCCTAAAGAAATAGACAGAATAGCATGACTCGCCATTATAATCTTTCATTTTTATGCATACAATAAATTGACTAATGAGCATGACTTGATAAACATTTAATTGAAAAGAAGCCTCACTAACTGCATTCAGTGAGGTGAAGTGCCCTCTGCTATGACTGCTTATTGGTTAAATCACATTATCATCAGAGCTGTAAATCCAAATCATTTTTTTTCTAATGAGATTAACAGACTTTTCTCTCACTACTTTTTTTTTATAGATAGAGATCAATCCTTGTTAAAGAATTGTTAAAGCAGTTAAACTTCCTGCATATACACATGCCTGGAAGTCTGTATCACATGCAAATCCCAGTGTGCAAAGGAAACTGGGACAGCGCAGATTATTTTGATTAGCCAGAAACATCAACTCTGGGGATCCTCTTGTGTTATCGTTTGGTTGATAATTACAAAGCATTAGCTTTTATAAAGTTATCAAGTGGGGATAAGAGACCAGAAATTTGATTTTTTGATTATCATCAGAAACAGGAATAGATTGTAACTTCTTGTCTGGGAGTATTTCTAAAAGAAACTCTCTCTGTCTATGTCTGTCTCTGTCTCTGCCTCTCCATCCCTACCTTCTTTTCCTGTGTGTGTGTTCATGTGTACGTGATAAATATGTAGGTTTACTCACTCCTGTTAATTATATTCCTCTATCATTTCTCCACACTCAAATTGAGCTATGTGCTTGTTAGATATGTGACTCACTTTGCAGACAGTTTTAAGAGAAACATTCCAATTATTTTTTGAGCAGGGTTTCTCTGCATAGCCCTGGATGTCCTGGACTCACTTTGTAGACCAGGCTGGCCTTGAACCCACAGAGATCCACCTGCCTCTGCCTCTTCATGTGCTGGGATTGCAGACGTGCACCACTGTCCTGGGCTCCAAAATCACCGAGATGGTGATCACACTATTGATATTCTAAGACAGTTCTTCAGAGGAAGAAGCTGGCAAATTAATTTGAGCATGTGGATTTCCATGTGAGGATAGAGATTTCTGTGATGCTGTTGGCCTCCTTAATTCTTTGAGCAAACTTTGTATTTTCATCATCTGTTGTTCTCTCAAAAATTTTCACCAATTCTTCCTTTTTGAAGTTTAAATTTGCCATGCTTTAACTCAGCACTGGATGCTACTGGGGTTGTTGTTTGGTGTTAAGACTAGTGGTCTATTACGCAGAAGACCTTGGATTTGATCTCCGACACTGGAAAAACAAAACAACTGCCTTCAGTCTGTCTCTGCATCCAGGCATACAACACTGTCCACACATTCTGCACACCACTGAAAATGGGACTGCCATTAGTTCCATTCAAGAACTATCCCCACCTCTTGTCGTATGTATTGCAAGATATCTGGTCACACTGTGAGCCCTAAGATTGTATTCTTTACTGGAATAACCTGTTTCTGGTTGTGGTGTGTAGCTCATCCTAACAGGCACTTTTTGCAAATTTATTTATTTTATTAATTACAGTTTAGTCACTGTGTATACCACTGTAGCCATCTCCCTCATTCCCTCCCAGTCCCACCCTTCCTCTCTCATCTCTTCCCATGCCTCTCCCCAAGTCCACTGATAGGGGAGGAGAACCCTGACCCTAGCCTATCAGGTCTCATCAGGACTGGCTGCAATGTCTTCATCTGTGGCCTGGTAAGGCTGCTTCTCCCTTCCTCATGGGGCGGTGATCAAAGAGCAGGTCATTGAGTTCACGTCAGAGACATGCTCTGTTCCCACCTAGGGAACCCAATTGGAATCTGAGCTGCCATGGCTATATCTGAGCAGAGGTTCTAGATTATCCTCATGCATATCCTTGATTGGAGTATCAGTCTCAGAGAATACCCCTTTGCCCAGATATTTTGGTTCTGTTGCTCTCCTTTTAGAGCTCCTGTCCCCTCCAGATCTATCTATCTCCCCCTTCTTTCATAAGATTGCCCGTACTCTGCCCACTTTCTGCTTGAGTATTGTAAACAGAATTAAATAAAGGTGACCCGAGGTCAAGAGGTAAAGCAAGCTACTAGTTGACAAGGAGTGAACATAAAAAACTGCAGAGAGTGAGAGGAAGTCAGGAGGACGGATAGAGAGTTTCACAGGGTGTTGAAGGGAAGGGCATTTAGTATGAGCATTTCTGAGACAGTGTGGGGGAGGATGTTTCTTTCTCCTTTGGGGATGTCGACTGAGAGGTCAGCTGGGTGCTTTCATCATCTCTCTAGCAGGCTTTCAAACCAGAATCTGGCTCCCAAGTCTTCATTGGTAAAATCAATCCATTGAGATTGAGATTTTGTTAAAAAACAACTGATATCCTTATCTATAAGCCCTTCTTGCTTCAAAACTCTTAAATGCTAGTCAGCCTGAGTCCTTTCTTGCATCATGGCTGTAAGTTTTATGGCCTTATTATTTATCCTTTATTATTTGGCTTTTATATGGGAGTTTATATGACCTTTTTGACTCTAAGCCATTTGGGCTCAGAAAACAATCTCCTTAGGCCTTGACCCTTTCTACCTCTCAATACAATGCCATGAATATATCAGAGTTAGTACATATTTCCAGAGGTCCTGCAACACAGCATTAAATAGTTTGGACATTTAAGACTGTGGCCCCTGCAGTATTTTCTTAAAAAAGCTTTCCATATTTAGAAAAAAAAAATTTGAGACAGGGTCTTAGGTAGCACCGGCTGGCCTTGAACTCATTGTATAACTATGGATGACCTTGAACTTCTGACTTTCTTGCTTTTGCCTCTGGAGTGTGTGGACAACCACATCTGCTTTAAGTGGTTCTTGGGCTCAAATCCAGACCTTTACACATGATAGGCAAGCAGTTTTCCAATGAAATCTATCTCAGGCCTGGATATTAACAATTTTTATTACTATGGAACAAAGTAGTGGTCCATATGAATGTATAGTTCAGCATTACAGAGTAAGTTATTTTAAAGTCATATGTATTTGAGAGACTGAAAAAAAAACAGTATATTCTGAATAATTTAATTTTCTGGCTAACTCAGAGTTATGGAAAGAAATCTTTGTATTTATTTTTTATTGGTCAATTGTTTTAATCAAGGAGTGCTACTAAATACACATACATATATATATATATATATAATATGCGTGTGTATACATGTATATCTCTAAATATCTATCTATCATCTATTTATACACTTGTGTATGAGACTATCAGAATGCTTTTGGGCAATTATTACACACCTTTTTTGTGTTGCATAATATATATTACAAAGGTATTTGCATTGTGGCTCAAAGTTTATTTTCACTCTTCAGTATATTAAGCATGTTTTTTAATTTTTAAATAGAACTTTAGTACCTGATATTTATGCACTGTGAAAATGTGAATACATTTCAACAAATATATATTTCAATGATTAGTCAAACTAATATGTCATCAAGAAATGATATAGTTTTAAGAGGCTGAGGTCAGATATAGCAAATGTTGTGAGATACATTGCTTTTAAACTTTCATAACCTCCTAACTGTAGAAAGAACCAGAATACATGCTTTCTTTATTGAGAAGACTGTATTCTTTACTTTTAATCAAATGCTTTCCTGTTTTGTTATCTCTCTCTCTCCCAGATGCAGTGACTTTTTCTTTGCCTAGGCTGACTTTGAATTCCTATGTATTCCAGGCTGACTTTGAAGTTGTCTGCCATTATGCCTGTCTTAGTCTGTTATTTACATAGATACCAGTGAAGTTTCAGTTTTGTCGAATGTTATATTTATGTAACCTATATACTATATATAAGTACATGTACTGTATATTTAACATACAGCCTTTGAAACTTTCTCATCCTAAAATAGCGATTTTGAACATTTTCCTGAGGGTTGGGCTCATGGATCAGTACGCATGTGCTTAGAATTTTGGAAGCCTTAACATCGATTTTCAACATTGCACAAGCAAAGCAAAATAGCAAAGACATTTTCTTGATGTATCTGTGGCTTAGAATTTGCAACTGTTTCAACTCTGGGAGTAGTAACTCTTTTTGTTATTTTTCAGAAGTTTCTGAAACTACAAAAATATAAAGACAACATTAAGAGACAATCATGAACAGCAAAGATTTTGTAGTTATTCCCTGGGGAAAACCTGGACATTCTGTAAAACTAAAATATAAGTAAGTATATACATATTTTTAAAAATAAAATATGTGCTAAATTTTTATGTGTTATAAACAAAACTTTTTAAAACAGGAGTTAGGTAAAAATAAAATTTCATAAATCTTTCCATTTTCATGTTGCTATTTTTATCTACAACAGTCATTTTGATAATATAATGGTTTATGAATTTAAGGTTTATAATAGTTTTCAAAATTAGTATTAAAATTATTTAACAGTAATTGGAGTGTAAAATCATAAATGAAATTTTGGATTCATTAACTATTAAAGCAGTATAAGGCAAAGTTAAATTTTTTTGACCTTCATTCAGTGCTAATAATTTTTAAAAAAAGTTAAAATTAAGAGGTCAGTTAGGGGCAGAGATATTTGAACATGTACACTATGTTGAAGAAAAAATTCCAGAAACAGAAAGAAATGTTCTGAACAAACTTGGAAATCTATCCAGGCAAAGCCAAATACTTCCAGGTGTAATGAACATCAACTCTGCGTATCATTGGTATTTTTGTGGCTTCCTATAGGTGTTAAGGGGATGTGTTCACTGTTTCCATTGGAGATCACCCAGTGTGTATGGAAGTCTTCTCAAGTTCTAAGCCAACCAGGATGTGCTCAGAACATGCAGCCCATTTAAAATTCTACTTTCTGAGTTTCCTAGCTCATATCAATGCCCCTGTAATTATTTTATGTCTTCAGAGTTCTTCATAAGTTACATTGTCTTCACTTCTAAGTCACTGGGTGTAAAAACGTTAAGGAAACTGAAAAATGTTACACAGGTGATGCTATCATATTTAGGTGTACTGTTGTTTGCGTGGTTATGGAAGCTATCAAATTGGTAGTGCCACTGCTTTGATTTTTAGAAATAGAGAAAGGGATGTGTAATATTTTACTGCAGTAATGTTTTATCTCTGTGTCAATACCTTCAAATCATTCACTGAAGAAATGTCTATCAGTTGTATACATACTCTGAGAGCAAGTGGTGGCATGGGAGGGAAGATACCAGGATTTTCTTCAAATAGCTGGCAGTGTACTGTGATATGTGGTTTGACAAGTGAGCTCAGGGCCTGTCAGAACACAGTGTATGTGGCACAGGTAAACAGATACGCAAGTTCTATAGGAGGGATACAGTTACTTTTGGTCATTTTTGCATGAAACTTTTGCAGATGTACATACAACATAAACTTTGTCTTTAAGACAAAGTCAATTTACTGAAGTGTAGAAAACAGAGTTGTAGAGACAGAACAAGCCTAGATAATAACTCATGGGCATGTCATGGTAAGACTGAGATCTATCTTAAGAATGGATTAGACACTGCCTTTTGCCCCTGTGTCTGACAGACCCACCTGTGATTCACAAACTCCCAAGAGCGAGAGAGAAGAGATACATTATTGTTCTGGCACTGGAGTTCCTTCTTCATCATTTCCTTGTTTCAAGAATCCTCTGCGGGGCATTCTTACCAGTGGTCTTTCTACTGTCAGACACTCTGCTGCCAGCAAACCCCAACATTTCCCCAGCATCCATCACCTTTCAGTCTTAGCTGTCTCCTTTATAGTTCATATGGTCTTTCCAGTGCTAGCATGGTGTCCCATAGGGGTTTTTCCTTCTAACCCGGGCTCTTCCTAAAAGACTCTTTTTTTTTTCTTTTCTTTTCTTTTCTTTCTTTTTTTTTTTTTTTTTTGGTGAGACCTATAAAACCAAGCATAAACCATGCCAACTTTTCAGACATAGTCTTTTATTTGCAGTTTTACCATTTATCAGCCACAGATGGGACTTTGGAAACACTGTGTCTTCTAAGAAAATTAAATGGCTCTCATGTTTGTCCTTTGGAAGCTGGAGGTGAGGTGCTGTAAGCTCTTGAAACACTGAGTATGAGAATCACCAGGAGACTAATTTTGAATCTTAGCCCTGCTCATCTACTCAGTAAGTTCTAATTAGGAAATCACGCCAGCGTAATCCTGCCTGTTTAAGTCACTGGCCTGGGATATTTTAGATTTGCCCTTTGTGCCCACTTTGGTTAGTCACCTACTTCTGGCCAGTTTACAAGTCTAGTTGTAAGTCTATTTTCCTGTTTTTATCAAGCTGTCATTTTCCTTCACATTGTCTCTCCTCAGATTAGCGTAGTCACAACAGTTTTGATTACTGGTGCCATTTCTTAACTGTCTTGCTTCTAAGCCTTCTTACTTCTAGTTTGAGTGCCAATGGTACAGCAGAGTGATCTTTATAAACACAAGCCTGATAAACACAAGTCTTTATAAGCACACGTATCTTTTAATCCTGAACATCTTTGTTGTTCAGAAGAGATAACTCCCAATTTTAGGTCATACTCTCAGGGTTTTTAGTGATCTGACAACCAGCCACCCAGCCAGTCCATTTCTTGATGTTTCCCCATTTTACACGTAAAGAAGTTCAGCTCCTTGACTCATGTGTTATCACTCCTCTGCCCACACTTTTCTTTCCTCACGGAACACTGTCCCCACCACCTCCCTTTGACTGGCTAAATTCTTTAATACTATACATCTTAGCTCAGACTTTGTTTACTCCAAGATAGACTCTTAGTTTGGGGGCAAGGTGTGTCCTATGACTGTGGGCCCAGGTAGTCCTTCCCTCAGTCACAGCACAATCATACTGTGCCTCAATGAATTTCCTGCCTGTTTGTACCCTTTCTGAATTGGAGGCTACATGTGTCTTGCCTCCTGTCACCCTTCACAGTTCTTGTGTGTAGTGAGGTGAACCTCAACCTTTGGATGTAACTTAAATCACAAGTCTCTCCCTCTATACTTAAGCCAGCTCCTGTGGACCCTTTGCCAGCTATTGCCAATTAGTTTGAAACAGCACCGTGGATTGTTTCCACCTGAGGACAAAAACATGGTGCATTTGCTCTTTAGTGAAGCCTTGCCACCTCTGTACATCTAATATCCATTATTCTCTAGTATGGGTCTGGCCATAGTATTAAGGGAAAGTTTTAAATTCATAACAGATAATGAAACCTAGACATAGATTAGCTTCTAGCTGTAAAATAGTCAGGATCTAAGGCTAATAGGAGGGGAAGCTTCAGGTTTTATGAAGAAAATCTCTCAGGGGTGTGCAGTTGGCTCAGTTAGTACACACATTAGGATCTGAGTTCAGTTCTGAGAAGCCACATAATAAAAGCTGGGCATAGTGTTACATGCTTATAATTCTAGCGCTGGGCAAAGCAGCGGCAGACAGAACACTGGGCTTCTCTAGCCAGTCAGTTGATCCTATTCAGTGAGCTCCAGGTCACTGAGAGATCTTGTTTCAAAAAACAAAACAAAAAAAAAAAAAAAAAAAAGGAAGGAAAGAAGGAAGGGAAGGAGGGAATGAAGAAGTAAGTAAGGAAGGAAATAAACAAAAGGGTTTCAAGCTTCCAGTCCAACAGAACGAGTTTCTGTACAAAGAAGATACTTGTTTTAGGCTGAAGACATTACTCAGCAGGAAAGTCCCTACCTAGCAGGTACAAGGCTCCAGGTTTAACTTACTCCACCCTGCCTTAAGTGAATGGATGGATGAATGAAGAATGATGACAATTTTAATTACTATGCTTTGAACTATGTGATATAGTAAAGCAAGTGTAAAATCTACTATTTTCTTCTATTTGTCAAAGATGTTTGTGTATATATAAAACACGGCTAATGTATAAAGCAAATAGACACTTTTCAGCTTTTAGATTTGAAGAGACACATTGCTTAAAGAGAATATTAATAGCAGGCAAATGCTGATTTTAAAATATCTTTATGAAGGGCATAGGAAGCACATAAGCCATGCCATCGTTCAGACCTTATAATAATCACAGTTTAAGAAAGGATGTTTCTATGAAGTTTGCTTGCCTTGAGGTATGTTTCCTTACCCTAAATGACTACGAAATCTTATATCTTTAGACATGCTCAGGAACTGAAAATGGAGAAAATTCAGCTAGAACTAGAGAATCAAAAGATGGAAAAGAAAATACAAGAGTTCCAAGCCACATGGAACAAAGGAAGAGAAGAAATTAAGTGAGTGAAAGCGTCAGAGAATTTTAGAATAAACAATATTGCCTAATATTATACTGATTTAAAGATGCTATTAATTTAACTGAATTACATGAAGAACTGTTTTGTATAACTTCTCTTAAACAAACATTTGATGGGTTGATGACACTTAACTGTTCCTGAGGACTAAGGAATATTGAATTCCTTACTTTTGCTTTTTGTGCCACTTACATGAACCACACGACTTTTTAAAATTACCAAGGCTTCTGTTTCCCTTTAGGTTTACTAGCTTTTTTGTTTTTATAGTTACTTCTTATGATAAGGTCCCAATGACTTATGTCCTGGAGTGTAGAGGAAAGCAATGCAAACTTGATTCTTTGCTATGAAACTATGCCAATCAAGATACCACAAAACCCAGCTGATGTTTAGGGCATTGTTCTATAGAGTAAATCTGCAAGAACAAGTATGTTCTTTTGCTTACCTTAGAATTATTTAAAATGTAAAATCTTTAATATGTAAAATATTTTAAGCAAATAATAGCTGATATTCTAATTTTGTTGATGAAATCCCCTTCATACTGTACTTGCATATTGCGAAGTGCTAATTTAATTTTCTTATAATACTAACAAGTAACCCTGATCTATGTCAAAAGAACTGACAATTATGATAAAAAATGTTTAAGTCTATGCTTACAACCAGCCCATTTCCTTGAACAATTAATGATTAAAATTATTTTCCCACAATATTCCTATCTTTGCATAAATTTTTGGTGAGGGAGAGGATGTGTGGGTGTGCTTGATGTCTTTATAAATGAGTTAATCTAAAAGTTATGAAAATAATTCATACCACAATAGTTTGGTCAATGCTCTATCTACATGGGCATGCTTGTATTAAATGTCAACAAAATCTCTGTATATTAAATTTAGGTCTTTTTGGTCTTCAAAGTGATAAGCATGCAATATCCAAAAAGTTCTTCTACAATCATTGATGTATAATCAGACATTTATTATAGTCTCAGTATATTTATTTTTAGAGTTTGATCATTTAAGGAATTTGCATGACATCTATACTTATGTCATACAGATGACCAGGTATGTCTTTCTTTCTTAATGATCAGTAGCCTTCTCCTTTCCTTTCCTTCACTGATGATGCTTTTCTTTTACTATACCCTTTTTTTGAATGCTGGTATATGTATATGTGAGTGGATACAGTGTGTGTCTGTGTGTGTGTGTGCATGTGCTGAGAAAAGATGGAAGAGTTTATTAGATACCCTGGATTTAAATTTACAGGTGATTGTGAACTACTAGATAAGATGCTGCACGTACGTGAGTATGCATTTATGTTTGAGCATGTGGAAGCCAGATGAAACCCTGGGTGCTATCTCAGGGGTGGATCGATTGGGTTTTTTGTTTGTTTGTTTTTTTGCTTTTTTTTTTTTTTTTTTTTTTTTGAGACAAGATCTCTCACTGGCCTAGAACTCACCAAGCAGCCAGAGAGCCCCAGAAATCTGTCTCCACCTCCCTAGCACTGGAACTCTAAGTGTGCACCACCATGACCAACTTCCCTGTCTCTGTCCCATCCCCCCCCATACCCTCAAAATTCTGTGCATCAAACTTAAGTTCTCATGTTTGTAAATCAATAGCCTTTTCAATGAATGATCATTTTCATTTGAAAATTGGAGATCCTGTAATCAGTTTCCAGGAGAGAATATTATTATTATTATTATTAAGCTGTGGAGTCTTTACTAGATGGTCTTTTAAAACATTCTTTAACTAGAGTGAGATTTCAGAGAAGTAATATTCTTTGCTAAAGTCTCACTGATTCTTAGTGTCACAGGCAAAGTGAAGACTTGCCATCTATTGACCAGGAAATGGAGGCCCATTGTTTTAGGTTCAGGTTTCTTATCTCTGTGACATTGGCAAGGTTGTCTAGTGAAATCTGATTCTTTACTTTTACATTCTCAAAAACGTTTTTTTTTTTTTTTTGGAGGGGGGCCTCAATGAATCCCTGTTTAAGCCTGTAAAGTGAAAAGTTGCCTTCTTTGTAATCTGTGCTATTTTTCATGTGGGACTTTGTTTAAAGTCTTTACACATCTACCACCTGGCAGGTATGCTATAAGAGGTACAGATTTGTGTTCTTTCCCCCTTTTTTATTTGTGGATACTGTTTTAAAAACTGCATGACCCAACCGTATGTAAAATTTTCTATAAATTAGTAAAAGCTAGTCGTTGTACATAGCAAACAATAGAAGTCTTCATCTGCGATTGAACATTTTGATGTTCGTCATCACTACACCAAAGTCACAGCTGTGGAAGAGCGATATGTAAAGTGGTACCCTGGCAATAAGTGAGACGTTGTTCACATCTTCTTTCCAACTTATCAAGCTTAACACCTCGACTTTCACTTCCCCCAAACAGGCAAAAATGTTTGTTTTCATTAAAAGGGGGAAAGGGGAATGTTTGCAGTAACTACATTTTGGTTTATGTGTGTTGAAGGGAAAATGGATATCACTGGAAATCTGGAAGGTTGAGCAAATTGAGTAACCAATCATACATGACGTCACAAAGTAAAACGAATGCCACTAAGGTAAGAAAGATGCCATTTGCCAAACAAAAGGACACGGATTGTGCTTCATGGCTTTGCATTCACTTCCCATACTGAAGAATCCACTGTTCTGGGATACAAAGCAAATAAATTAAAATAATAATAGTGACAATAATGATGAATGCACTACTGCGTTAGTAACTTCAGTTTAGGCTCACCATCATTAGTTACTATGGGGCTTTATATTTCAGATATGCTTTGTTTTTTATGCAGACTTTTTTATTTTTTTAACGAAATATTTAAGAAGATTTAAAAAATTACTTTGAGGGGAAATTTCGCATTCTGTCCGCCTTTGAATTCCAGATACAATCTCTCCATTCATTACAAGTTTAAAGGATATAAAATACAATGCCATTGTTCTATATTAAGGTGAACATTAATATTAAATGATATGATTTCATGTTATTTATTTCCTTAATATTGTTGAACTCTGCTTGAGTAATAATTACTCATACACTCTTGGTCTCATGAATAAAGATATTCATGGAAAAATCTGCATGACAATTACCAAGCTACAGATTTTCTTTATCTCGACTGTGGATTGTAAAATGTAAAATTATATCACATTTATGATAGCAGGCAGGTAGGTGTTTTTATATAAGGAATCCTTTTTCTCTGGATTTATTTGGTACAAGATTCATGATTTCATGAATTTTAACTTGCACAGCATTTTATTTTTATATATCTGTCATTAAACTTTCATTGGGTCATTCGGCACCTACAAATATCTGACTCGGCACTTCTGTACTTTTTTGCTTCAGAAAAATCATTTCATTATAGAGTGCCATCCCTGTTGTAAGGCAGAATTCTTTCCTTCTTGGGGTTAAAATTTTATAAGCTGTTTGGAACTAGTCATTATCTTTCCATAGTGCTGTCATATATTGCGTTTCAGATATTACTGTAAATATGTTAAAAATTTTGAAGTGAGTTGTTATGGTACATCACACTTGTAACCTCAGCACTCAAGAAGTTGAAGCAGGTATCAGATGGAAGGGGAGGAGGTCCTCCCCTATCAGTGGACTTGGAGAGGGGCATGGGAGGAGATGAAGGAGGGAGGGTGGGATTGGGAGGGAATGAGGGAGCAGGATACAGCTGGGATACAAAGTTAATAAAAGGTAACTAGTAATAAAAATTAAAAATAAAAGTTGGAGCAGGGCGATTGGCATGAGTTTTAGGCCAGCCTTGTTATGGCGTGAGACTCTGAGTCAAAAAAAAAAAAAAAATGGTGGTTATAATCAGCAAACATTTGATTGTGGATTTTTATGAAATGGTATTTATAAAGTGCCGTTTTGGACTTTTAGTGGTTTACTCTTTGTTTTCAAGGAAGTTCTCATCTAATCTAGGAAAAAAAAAAGCCAAGGTACATCAAATATAGTAAAAGTCAATATAAAATATTTGTAATAAACATTTTGTATATGAATAATGTGTACTTACAAAATAATAGCTTAGTTAACAAGTTTACCTAAGGAAATATTTGAAGAATAAGTCAAAATCCTTGCCTCCACACACATCATAATTCTAAAGGAGGGCAGAAGTGGAAATGTGGGGAGGTTCATAGAAGGAGGAGGGCAGAAGTTCCTCATCCTAGTCTCAGGTACGTTGATTCATTTCACTTGATGAGGAAGATTTTCTTCACTTGTAGAGCTTGATTGAAATATTATAAAAGTGATTTTTAATAGTTTTTCTTGTCCAATTATTCTTTTGTTTGTTATTAACAGAGTATAAAGCAAGTAGGCTATACACAATTTTGACCATGAAATACAGCAGGAATGAATAGGCTTTGAACAATGACTTCCTATGTATAGTCTTCCGTTTATTTATCTGCATAACAATCTGCAGCACATACATTACACTGTTGACTGTGGAAATTAAGGGAAAGATAAAGAACAATAGACACAGATTGTTCTTTTCTACTTCCCAGTCACTGTGTGGGATGTCTGCATTGTCTGTGCTTGCTGCTCACGGGATCAGTGGGCTCAGAGGCATAGTGGTACAGACATAGTGGAAGGTTATAAAAGGACCATAGAAGTCATATGAAATGAATCCAAATTAAAATGGAGACAGGAAATATGTGAAGAAAAACATTACACCAAAGTACTGTGACGAAAGAGGGAATTCAAAAGTACAATGGATAATACAGGGTTTATAAAGTAGGAGGGAGCTTGAACAAAGAAGAGTCTGTGGTATGAGTTTACGATTTTGTTTGAGTTCTCATGTGATAAGCAAAGCTGAGTAAATGTATCTCTAAGAATTTACATAAACAATAGAGATATGAAGACTTAAACCCAAGGAAAGCTGGTGTGTGGTGTGTGGTAGCCCTCAAAATTTAATATTTACTCAGGATATTTTATGCCAGCTGGGAGCTTATCTTTGTTGGCTTTTTATCTCAGCAAGCACTTATATCTCCCTGGAGTCAGTTTATAATTGTGGTTTCACAGATGAAGTAATTTCACATCAGAGAAGTAAACTGATTTGCTCAATGTCAAGCATCAGGTTGTTAGATTTGTTCTAAAATAATCCTCCAGTTTCCCCGTGTAGAGAACCCGGAAATAAAAGAAGGGCAGGAAATGGAGCCAAAGTCTCAGGATTTCATAGAAGATTAAAGGGAAGGAGAGCCTTTTTTGAACACATTGAGATGCTGGTGACACCTAATGTGTTGTTATAAAGAAATTTCACTTCAGAGCAGTGGTTCTCAAGGAGACAATTTTGTTTCCCTGGAGACTTTTCACAATGTCTGTTGTTTTTTTTTTTTCCTTTTGGCACTTGTTACCGTTAAGAGAGTAACTTTTGATGAAGATGTATAATAGATCAGGACCAAGGTTGCTGCTGAACTTGCTACAGCACACTGCAGAACCCCTTAGTATCAGCTGTGCGGAGGGTGAGAAACACAGTATTGGCCTTATAAATTAAAATTCTGACTCGTTTGGCTATCTCTGCACTCTTAGGCAAACCAACAACCTTGAACCTCTGCTATGCATTCTTAAGACATTTGTAACATTTAGACTTCTAAGCCAGGTAAGAGATGATATATTTGAACCCACTTTGAATTGTTACAATGTTTATATATGGAAAATGAGAACATTAAAAGCCTGGAGTTTAATTATTTTTTCCTAGATAATTTTTTTTATAATTTTTATATTTTATGTTAATTACAGGTTATTTACTTTAATTATTGAGCTGTCATTAGATCAGTGTAACAGTATACTTCAAAGTATTTAAAAATGGGAAATGAGAGACAATGAAAAAAATATACTTTGCTGAACACAGGAACAAGAACACATAAAGGTTCAATAGTATCAAAGAAAGAGTTAAGTTCTTTGGGGTTTGGAGAACTCAAGTCAGCCACTCTACTGGGTGAGAAATGGAATGCAGGTAAGGGAGAATTTGAAGATGGAGATGGCAGAAATGCCAGCAGTTGGGGCTGTGATCTATGAGAAGGTGTTTCCTTAAAGAAACTGGGGAGACTGAATTTCCTGTGCAATGCACAACAGGAGAAAAACAACACAGGTGGAAATAAACAAAATCGTAGAGATTGGGACTGACAGGTGATACAGTACAGTAAAACAGAACTTCATCTCTCATAGAGTTGACAGTATCTGCTCAAATGAGGTATGGGAAACAGGACAATTATGAATTCTTTGTTTTTTTATTAAATTTTTATTTTTTAAATATTAGTTACATTTTATTAACTTTGTATCCCAGCTGTAGCCCACTGCATCTCCTCCCTGCTCCTTTCCAAGTCCACTGATAGGGGAGGTCCTCCTTCCCTTCCATCTGACCCTAGCTTATCAGGTTTCTCCAGGACAGGCTGCAATGTCCTCCTCTGTGGCCTAGCAAAGTTGCTCCTCCCTTGGGGTGGGGGATGGGGAGAGGCGTCAAAGAGCCAGATATTGGGTTCATGTCAGAAATAGTACCTGTTCCCCTTACTAGAGTACCCACTTGAATACTGAGTTACTATGGGTTATATCTGAGCAGGGGTTCTAGGTTATATCCATACATGGTCCTTGTTTGGAGAATCAATCTCAGAAAAGACCCCTGTGCCCAGATATATTTGGTCCTTTTGGAGCTCCTATCCTCTCCAGGTCTTACTAACTTCCCCTTCTATCATATGATTTCCTGCACTCCGCCCAAGGTTTGGTTATGAGTGACAGCATCTGCTTTGATACACTGCTAGGTAGAGTCTTTCTGAGGCCCTCTATGGGAGGTTCCTGTCCTATTACTTGTTTTCACCTACTTCCAATATCCATCCCATTTGTCTTTCTAAGTGAGGATTGATCAACTTATCCCGGGTCCTCTTTCTTGTTTATCATCTTTAGGTGTACAGATTTTGGTATGTTTATCCTATCTTATAGGTCTTATATCCACTTATAAGTGAGTCTATACCATGTCTGTCTTTCTGCTTCTGAGATACCTCATTCAGGATGATCTTTTTTAGATCCCACCATTTGCCTGCAAATTTCATGATTTCCTTGTTTTTTTATTGCTGAGTAATATTCCATTGTGTAGATGTACCATAATTTCTTTATCCATTCCTCAGTTGAGGGGCATCTGGGTTGTTTCCAGCTTCTGGCTATTACAAATAAAGCTGCAACAATCATGGTTGAGCAGATGTCCTTGTTGTATACTTGAGCATCTTTTGGATATATGCCTAGGAGTGGTATAGCTGGATCTTGAGGAAGCACTATTCCTAGTTGTCTGAGAAAGCACAAGATTGACTTCCAAAGTGGCTGTCCAAGTTGACATTCCCACCAGCAATAGAGGAGGGTTCCCCTTTCTCCACAACCTCTCCAGCATGTGTTGTCACTTGAGTTTTTGATCTTAGCTATTCTGATGGGTGTAAGGTGAAATCTTAGGGTTGTTTTGATTTGCATCTCTCTGATGGCTAAGGATGTTGAGGATCTCTTTAGGTTTTCTCTGCCATTCTATATTCTTCTTCAGAGAATTCTCTGTTTAGCTCCGTAACCCATTTTTTTTAAATTGGATTGCTTGATTTATTGCTTTTTAACTTCTTTATTTATATATTCTGGATATCAGCCCTCTGTCAGTTATAGGTTTGGTGAAGATGCTTTCCCAATCAGTAGGCTGTCGTTTTGTTCTTATGACAGTGTCTTTTCTTTACAGAAGCTTTTCGGTTTCATGAGGTCCCATTTATTGTTTGTTGCTCTTAGAGCCTGTGCTGTTGGTATTTTGTTCAGGAAGTTGTCTCCTATGCCAATGAGTTCCAGGCTCTTCCCCACTTTTTCTTCTAACTGATTTAGTGTATCTGGCTTTATGTTGAGGTCTTTGATCTACTTGGACTTTAGTTTTGTGCAGGGTGATAAATATGGATCAATTTTCATTTTTTCTGCATGAAGACATCCAGTTGGACCAGCACCATTTGTTGAAGATGCTGTCTTTTTTCCATTGAATGATTTTGGCTTCTTTGTCAAAAATCAAGGATTCATAGGTGTGTGGATTCATTTTTTGGTCTTCTATTCAGTTCCATTGATCTACCTTTCTGTTTCTATGCCAATACCGTGCAGTTTTTATTACTATTGCTCTGTAGTACAGCTTGAGATCAGGGATGGAGATACCTCCAGATGATCTGTTGTTGTACAGGATTGTTTTGGAAATTCTGGGTTTTTTGTTTCTCTATATGAAGCTGAGAATGTTTCTTTCAAGGTATGTAAAGAAGTGTGTTGGTATTTTGATGGGAATTGCATTGAATCTGTAGATTGCTCTTGGCAGAATGGCCATTTTCACTATGTTCATCCTACCTAACCATGAGCATGGGAGATCTTTCCAGCTTCTGATATCTTCTTCAGTGTCTTTCTTCAGAGACTTGAAGGTTTTTTTTTTTTTTCAAACAGGCCTTTCACTTGCTTGGTTAGAGTCACCCCAATGTATTTTATGTTATTTGTTGCCATTGTGAAGGGTGTAGTTTCCCTGATTTCTTTCTAGGCCCTTTTGCCTTTGGTATACAGGAGGGCTTCTGATTTTTTTTTTTAGTTAAGTTTGTATCCAGCAACTTTGCTGAAGGTGTTTATCAGCTGAAGGAGTTCCCTGGTTGAATTTTTGGGGTCGCTCATGTATACTATCATATCATCTGTGACTAGTGAAACTTTGATCTCTTCCTTTCCAATTTGTATCCTCTTGATCACCTTTAGTTGTCTTATTGCTTTAGCTAAGACTTCAAGTACTATGTTGAAAAGATATGAAGAGAGTGAGCAGCCTTGCCTTGTCCCTGATTTCAGTGGGATTCATTTAAGTTTCCCTCCATTGAGTTCGACTATGAATTCTTGAGAGTTGTGGTTTGGAGGAGCAACTGTTGGAATCATGACTGGGATTTAGCAGTAATTATTGAGCCAACTGCTAAGAAGTCATATGTGTTCATGGGGGTTATTAAGCATGGGTTTTCAGGAAACCCCATAGCATTATTTCATCACAATAGTAGGTAGGAGGGAGAGCTAAGAGTAGAAGAAAAGTGATCATGTTTATCACTGAGAACCTCTGTGTTTGGGAGTTTGAACACATGGACATGTAGAATCATGTCTAGTTGCAAGTTTTGGTCACAGTGGTGGGGCAACCAGAGGAATTTAGGTGTTAACAACTGCCAGAGTGTTGGAGGATCCTCAGTGCTTGATGTCAGGTATGTGGGTACTGGAGTATTAATTAGAATTGGGATAAAGAGAAATACCCAATAGATTGTGATGTTTGGACAGAAGAGGAGCCTAAGCATTGATAAAGACAGTTAGTGGGTAGTGGATATCTTCAGGAAGTAAATTTGCTGAGTGATGGTGGTGGAATAGTACCCTGGGTAAAGGTTGTAGATCCTCCCTCTCCCCAACCCATGCCACTGAGTAAAAGCAAGTAGGTAAATCAGGACCCAGTTGGTCTGGGAAAGTGCTTCAGTTGGAGATGCTTACTTAGTATGCAGGAAGCTCAAGGCTTGCTCCCCAGTGCCTCATAAATGGAATGAAGGCATTCATCCCGTGGGAAATGGAGCAAGTGGATCATCAATTCGGGATCATCTTCAGCTCCATAATAAATTATAGATCATCTTGCCCAACCCAACCCAACCCAACCTAACCCAACCCAACCCAAAGGGTAATCAATGAAAAAGCTCCAGAAAGGAAGTAGTTTCTATGGATAGTATTTCAGACAAGCTTTGACCTCCTCCCACCCCAAAGCAGGCTCCAATTATTGTGAACGTCAAGGTGGAACATTTTCAGGACAGAGACAAAGTACAAATAATTAAGTGGATTTTAACACAGGATTCTATGGAACCACAAGGGAGTCTTTGTATACAGATAGTAAGCAGAGGTGGAAAAATTTCAGGAGGTGAGATGTGCATGGAAAGCATTGAAAAAGTGGGGGCACTTGGGATACATAAAAGTACTGGTGCAAGGTTGTAAGTATTTGTGATGTCTGGATACAACTGACCATTCTTATTCCACAGCAATTGCTCAGACATTACAGATGGTAGGGTCAGTTAAACTGCCCTGGCATTAGGAAGCTTTTGTTGAATGCCTCTGGCTCAGCAATAAGTGCATTAAATTCTGGTTTCAAATACTCAGAAACATGTAAACATGCTGTCCATTTGTATCCATCTACTAACCCTGCTTTATCACTCAATTATTTTTCAAACATGAAAATCAGATTTAATGACAAAACTCAATTAGACTGAAACTAGGAGCTAGCAGCCTATTCACTTGAATGTTTTCATGTAATTTGGATAATCTCAAATAAATATGGACATATTTATAGATAGAAAAATACTACTCATAGTAACAAAAAAATTATAAAATTTCCCTAATAATTACTTTATTTCCCTGATACGTCTGTTTATCCTAAGGAGCTCATAGCAATCCTGATCACATTGCAATTCAGTCACATCATTAAGGTAATCATACTGGATAATTCAGGTATAAAAAGTGAGGTTAAATTATCTGTAACTTGTATAATAACATTGCCAACTTAAAAAAAAATAAAAGTGTGATTCATATAAAAGTTGATTATTTCAATTCTATTTTCTTTTCTGCAGTGTTTGGGTCAGAAAACATTTGAACAGCTACTTCAAAGAATGTGAACAATAACTGCCTCTTTGAAGCAAAACCGCAGAGAATAATGAGGCCTAAATTTTCAAAGATGATTGTAGTTGGTACAGCCATAGATATAGAGGTGGCCATTGTTCTCATATCTTCACGTACAAATTGAGCAATTGAGCATGCAAATTGCAAATTGAAAGCTGGGCATGAATCGGCAGTCTATGTAAATGCAAACCATCCTCTGGGCTCACTGGTGTACTTTAAATGCTTGTTTTAATAAGACCCAGGCAAACGTGTTCAGTGGGCAGGTCTCTCTGCTGCCTCCACTGTTAACATCCAAAGGCTCTAAGGGACTGTTTATATTGAAATACCCAGTATTGGTTTTTACTTTCTCAAGCATATTTTAGCAATCACACAGAAAAGTCAGGGATCATAAATAATACATATGATGGGTGAGACTGGGGTGCTGAAATGTGTTTCTCAAAATTGTACAAATAAGATAATGCCATTGGCTTCTGCAGTTATGTGAACAAAAGGGTTCAGTAAGATTCACTGTAGGTTCAGGCAGTGCAAATACCAGACTGTGAGCTTCAGGAGGAGAAGACTTCCAAACCTTCACAATATCTCAATGGTAGTGGTTTTTTTTAATATCAATTCATGCTAACATATAGTAATTTTTGTTATGCTCAAATGATATCATATACTTGCATGAAAATGGGCATCTGGAACTTTGTAAAATAAAAAAAAATATTCCTGGTACTTTATGTAAAATTTGCTCTACATACTGGTCATGGTGATCCATGCTTTTAATGTCAGTATTTAGGACAATCATGAGTTAGAGAATAGTGTGGGCTACCTAGAGAGAACCCCTGTATCAAAAACCTAACAAAATCAAAAGTAGTTTATATATATATATATTGTTTGAACAACATTTAAAGCCTATATGTACTTTGGATTATTTTTCAATTTTATATTATTCTCAAGCAATATATATATAATATACATATAATATATATATGTATATTATATATATATTTGTGTAAGAGTGTAAGATGTTCGCAAATGGTACAGCTATCTACCATTCTGTTAATAACTTATTTTTATTTGGTTAGGAGAATGTATAGCTGAAAAATAACATCTATTTTATCAATGCAGCTCTCTGCTGGAAAAGTGAAATTGAAGTTACTAAAGGAACAGACTCAAGGTAAGCAGCTTTCTGTATTATACGCTAGGCATGAGGCTCTTCACATATCACATATAATCAAATAGGGTCTTTATAGATATCATGGATAAATTGCAATAATTTATGTAGTGTAAAGCTTCTCAGCCACTGAATGGTGATATTTTGATTTTCGAAACAAGTTTTATTCAATTTTTGGTGTCAAACTTTCAACTGAGAATATAATTAAAACAAATAAATCTTCAAAAGTGAAGATTATTCCTTAAAAATTTCAGTATAATCTTCAAATCGAGGAGCAAATTTTTCAGTATAAAATTATAAATTAAAATACCACTCTAGGTAGAAGGTATATATTAACATGGGATTAGTAACACCTATAGCATCTGGCTTCTTGCAAAGACTCAGTGAGATCATACATAAAATCACTCTACATGTTATTTTACAATATTGTACTTGACACATTGTCATCTATTGGGCTCTTAATAAACTATGATTATTACACATGCAAAAAAAATACCACTCTAGGAATTGAAAAAAAATATTGAAAATTTACTTTACATTTTAAAGTTATCTGAATTTACAGTGATATAAAAGGAAATGCAATGTTTGTCTGGAACTTAAACATATTTGTATTGATTAATTGCATAATTTGATGGACTAAATTCTAGAAACACATACAGTATTGATACAAACATATTGTGAGCTGATCTTCATTGTCAAGTTGATGGGATTTAGCCTTACCATGGAAACACAGTCACCATTGCTGGGCATGCATGTGAGTGATTATCTAGATTAGGCTAATTGACTTAGAAAGACACACACCAAATAAGGATAGCTCCATCCAATGCTTCTAGGGTCATGGACTGAGTAAGAAGACAAAGGCAGCCTGGCAGGAGCATTCATCTCTTTCACTCCTGCTACTTTGACTTTCCTATAGCAACTAGTTGTTAGAACTGAAAGCCAAAACCAAACAAAATGCTTCATTCCTTAAATTGCTTCAGTCAGGTGTTTAGTTGCAGCAACAAGACAAATAACTAAAACAGGCAAACTTGTTATAAATGTAAACCATTGTATGGTTAGAACTTTTCTAAATGGGCTTCACTCGTATCCAAGGAAAGGGAAATGAATAAGAAATCTGCCAAGAGTAACATTCTCAGCATTGACTCTACCCCATGGGAGCTGGCAGGGGTTGTTACAGGTTCTACAATGAACTGACGAATCAGACATGGCTGCATTCTATTCTTAGGCTGCTAATGCTTAAGTGCTATGTGAAAATTTAGAAATGCTTATGGCTTCATTATGGTTTAAAACATTAATTTATTTTTATTAATTACAATTTACTTACTTTGTATCCCAGCTGTAGCTCCCTTCCTAGCCCCCTCCCAATCCTACCCTCCCTCCCCCTTCTCCTTCCGTGTCGCTCCCCAAGTCCACTGATAGGGGAGGTCCTCCTCCCCTTCCATCTGACCCTAGCCTATCAGGTCTCATCAGGACTGGCTGCCTTGGCTCTTCAGTGGCCTGGTAAGGCTGCTCCCCCATCAGAGGGAGGCGATCAAAGAGCTAGCCACTGAGTTCATTGCAGAGACAGTCCCTGTTCTCATTACTAGGGATCCCACTTGGAAGACTGAGCTGCTATGGGCTACATCTGTGCAGGGGGTTCTAGTTTATCTCTGTGCATGGTCCTTGGTTAGAGTATCAGTCTCAGAAAAGTCTCCTGGGTCCAGATTTTTTGGTTCTGTTGGTCTCCTTGTGGAGACCCTGTCCCCTCCAGGTGTTCTTATCTCCCCCTTCTTTCATAAGATTCCCTCCACTCTGCCCAAAGTTCAGCTATGATTCTCAGCATCTGCTTTGATACGCTACTGGGTAGAGAGTCTTTCAGAGGCCAGTCTACAGATTCAGTGCAATTCCCATCAAAATGCCAACACAATTCTTTACACAACTTGAAAGAAAAACATAGAAAAACAAAAATCCAGGATTGCTATAATAATCCTGTACAAAAACAGATCTTCTAGAGGTATCTCTCTCCCTGATCTCAAGCTGTACTATAGAGCAACAGTAATAAAACCTTCATGGTGCTGGTCTAGAAACAGACTGGTGGATCAGTGGAATCTAATGAAAGACCCAGAAGGAAAGCCACACAGCTAAGGCTTAATTATCTTGTTAATCAGGAAACTAAACACCATACCTTAGAGTGATTATCATGATATCTTTTTCTTCCAGCACCATCGAAACAACCAGGTAATTACACAATGGCACATTCTATTGGAAGTGAAAAGCCCAAGACTAAGAGGAAAGTTTGTGGACAGTGTGAGAACAAAGCTGCTCTCCTTGTAAGTACACTACAACGCCAAAGAAGTAGAGTAGACCTATCGTGGCCCCTTAAACACAGCCTACATCTTAAACACATCTACATATTCACTGAACTTCGTCTTCCCACTCTTGCTTAAAGGCATCATTTACAAGCGTGTCCTCCATCTCTTCAGTCATGCTTAGCAACACACACTTTTACAACAACATCTGCATACACAGTGTCCTGTTATAATTTTTAATGGTTAGACTCCTTGAACACCCACCCCGAAGGTTCCCTTTCAGTAGTTTCATGTTGGACATGTTTTGTCGTGATAGGAGTGAGTGGTTTTCAGCTTGGAATTTTGCATGCAAACTTTCCCTATGAATTACACTACCTTTTGTAAATTACTGAGCCCTTCTATTACTGAGCCACCAGATTTCCCACTTGTGGCCTATGCGGTAAATCTATGGACAGTTATAATTTAAGGAAGTGCCTGCCACTAGGTCTGATACGCACAAAGGAGAAAATATCTAAAACGATTTGTCATTAGCTTTTGTCACTTTTTGACTTTAACGCATTTACAAATATTGATAAAAGTCCAACACTTCCAAGCATTTCATTTTAAGTGACATTTCAGTGGCTTTAGGCTATTTCTCTATGCTAAAAGTGGAGAGAAAAGTTGTGTATTAATTTGGCACATGTACTGATTTTGATTAGATTGAAATGAATTCTGAAAACTAATACAGCCAATCTGGAATTTGCCAAACCACTCAGATAGTTCTAAAAACTGCATTCCTCTGTTTTATCGTTGAAACTATGCAGCAGAGTGAAATCCTTATCTGTGGTTTAGTAAGTTGCTGCCCATTTCACAAACTGCCTAAAAAGATTTTTCAGTTGGCAGTCATTTTAACCTGTTTAAATCCAAACATGCTTGTATAGCAAAGTAAGAGAGCTTACTTGGCAACTCCAGCTTGGTCGTCCAGTCTACACACATCATTTGGGCTGCTTTCTTTAAACACCTGTTAATAAATGCTTGCTTGCCTTAGAATTATGTGCTGCACCTGATTTTCAATTCCATGCATCATATCATGTAGTATAAAATACCAAAGGTTTATGATAAACTCAGTGGAATATATTAGCAGGTATATTTAAGAAAATTATGCAGAATGCATTTTGAAATAGTCTTGTGTGAGGGAGGTTAGGACTGGGAGGAGAGGAAGGAGGGACCTATGTAAATTTAATTAATTAAAAATTAAAAAAGAACAATTAAGGGCCTTTTGTTATGATTAATTAAAAGGCTTTATTAGGGGCGGTCTTTTGCTTAGAAAAAAAAAATCCCAGCTTTATGTTCTTAATCACCTTTGAAGAGGTATTGAATTACTAATAGACTGTGCAGTCATCTAAAACATTAAATTAATTTTTAAAGAGTTTATTAGTTTTTGAAGAAAGGATTCTTTTGTTATAACACACTTGATTTGCTTGAACATACAAGGTAATGGCGAACCCACAATAATCTCCACATTATATCACTCCAAGCTCACGATAAACACTGCTGTTCACTCAGTCAGTCACTGAGCGCTGACACCAATATTAACCGTTTCTTGACACAGACCTTCTGAAACTCTGTTCTTTCATGCATGTTCTTTTCCACTTCCCAGTCACTCAGCCTGGGCCAAACTGAAACAAACAAAGGTTCTTTTCACGCTATATCCCACTGCACTGTGAAGGGCTTGAAGCAATGCTATAGCTTTGTAACAGCAACTTCAATAGTGGTAAAGTTTTATTTCGCTTTCTCTTTACTTGCAGTAATTCCTACTAACATCACAGGTATGGGCATATTGCATCACCAAACTGCCCACAGTTCAAACCAAACACTTCCTGCTCCCAGGAAGCTGAATGATGACCACCTGAGTTACCACAGCCTGTAGCCAATTCAGTAGTCACAAACACCACATCTTGTTTCCTTTGGTTTCTTTCCTTTTTGCATACATCTGACAACATTTTCAAAGCTACATTTTAAGTATCACCAAGAAAAGTGTACATTCATGGAAGTATGTTGAAGTTTTTGAAGGGGACAATATATATTGTTTTCACCTAGTGTCGATATGCATAAAGATAAAAGATGTCATAAAATGAGAGTTTCAGTTTATAATGTTGTTTAATTTCCACCAGGTCAAGGAGTCTGACCTGGTGCTATTTAGTTGTGTGATGTATACACCTATATAATATGCCTAACCAACACCACTGCTACTACTATTGTACTTATTCGATCTGAGAGTAGTTAGTTTTTTAGTGTTAAACTTAGCATTTCAGCACTTTTTTATTCCAATGACATCTGTGTAACTGGGAGAATAAATACGAGGACAACAGCTGTCATTGCGTTGTATCTCCTGTTTTTTTTTTTTAAATTTTATTCATCTATCTATCTATCTATCTATCTATCTATCTATCTATCTATCTATCTATCTATCTATCATCTATCATCCATCCACCCATCCACCCATCCACCCACCTATCTATCTATCTATCTATCTATCTATCTATCTATCTATCATCTATCTATCATCCATCCACCCATCCACCCATCTATCTATCTATCTATCTATCTATCTATCTATCTATCTATCTATC